TCGGCGATACATCGGCGATGCATCGGCGATGCATCGGCGCCATCGGCTATGCATTGCATCGGCGACGTGGGCGTGGAGAAAATCGGGCTCCACATCGAGCCGCATCGCCGATGCATCGGCGATGCGGAGCGATCCTCCGACCCCATCTGCTCGGACCCCATCTAGGAGGCCTAGAGCATCGGCGGGAGGCGAGCCGAGAAGTCGAAGGGGCGAGCGCGGTCCCGAGGGGCGACCGGGGCGGGGACGGCGTCGACGACGACGACACCGACGACGGCGACACCGCCGACGACGGAGAATTCTCTCTGGGATCCGAGGGCCTCTGCGCTGGCCATGGGCGGGATGTGCCACCGCAGGAGGGCCACACGGCGCGCATGGCGTCCAGGAGGCCGTTTTCTTGGACCGGCGGCGGCGGCGGTCCAAAGTGCGGCTCGTCCGCACCGTCCGTTGTGAGGTTCCTCGGTGCTGTTTGGGAGCCTCTTGAAGCCTCCTTTGGGCCTCCTGGGTGCCTCTTGGGGGTCTCCTGGGGCCTCTTGGGGCCCCTTTGGGGCCTCACGGGGCCCTGTGGAGGCGGGAGGCTCGAGTTTCCGGTTCGCGGTTTCCCTCTTGGGGCCGTCGTGGGCCTCTCTTCGCCCGTCTTGGGCGCGTCTTGGGCCGTCTTGGGGCCCTCCAGAGCCGTCTTGAGGCCCTCTTGGAAGCCTCTTGGGCTGTTTTGGGGCGTCCGCGGGGAGCCTGTGAGCCGTCGTGGAGCGTCGGAAAGCTGAAAAGGCGGGAAAGGCAAAATGTGTCCCAAACCATAGTAAAATAAACAATTTTGGCCTCTTGGGGCCCTCTGGGGGGGGCGTCTTGGAGGCCTCTTGGAGCGTCTTGGGGGCCTCTTTGGCCGGGTTGGGCTTATCTTGGGGGTCTCCTAGGGCCTCTTGGGGCCCCTTTGGGGCCTCCCGGGGCCCCGTGGAGGCGGGAGGCTCGAATTTCCGGTTCGCGGTTCCCCTCTTGGGGCCGTCGTGGGCCTCTCTTCGCCCGTCTTGGACGCGTCTTGGGCCGTCTTGGGGCCCTCCAGAGCCGTCTTGAGGCCCTCTTGGAAGCCTCTTGGGCTGTCTTGGGGCGTCCGCGGGGGGCCTGTGAGCCGTCGTGGAGCGCCGGAGAGCTGAAAAGGCGGGAAAGGCAAAATGTGTCCAAAACCATTGTAAAATTTACGATTTTGGCCTCTTGGGGCCCTCTGGGGGGGCCTCTTGGAGGCCTCTTGGAGCGTCTTGGGGGCCTCTTTGGCCGTCTTGGGCTTATCTTGGGGGTCTCCTGGGGCCTCTTGGGGCCCCTTTGGGGCCTCCCGGGGCCCTGTGGAGGGGGGGGCTCGAATTTCCGGTTCGCGGTTCCCCTCTTGGGGCCGTCTTGGTGCCGTCTTGGGCCTCTCTTCACCCGTCTTGGGCCGTCTTGGGGCCCTCCAGAGCCGTCTTGAGGCTCTCTTGGGGCGTCCGCGGGGGGCCTGTGAGCCGTCGTGGAGCGTCGGAAAGCTGAAAAGGCGGGAAAGGCAAAATGTGTCCAAAACCTTCGTAAGATGAGCGATTTTGGCCTCTTGGGGCCCTCTGGGGGGGCCTCTTGGAGGCCTCTTGGGCCGTCTGGGAGCCATCTTGGGCGTCTTGGATCGATCGTAAGCGTCTCGAGGCACGCTTGGACCGTCTTCGGCGCCTCTTGGGCCGGACAAGGGCGCTCCCGGAGGCCCGATCCTCCCATGGGGGGTTGCGGTCCCCGCCAGGGAGCCCCCGGCTCTGTAGCCCGGTATATATATACATATATATGTGTGTATATATATATATATATATATAAAAAGATATAAAAACAGCGGGGTGTGTATAGAGAGCACGGGCGACCAAGGTCAGAATGAGAGGCTAGAGTAGACAAAAGATATCACACACCAGAAAATATGGAGCAGAATCGACGTGAGAGAGAGAGAGAGAGAGAAGGTATGCTGGCGGCGATGCGGCGGTGATTCGCCGTAGGCGTCTTCGCTAGAAAGGGACGCCGCGACCGGCAGCCCGCGAGGAGCGACCAGCCCCACCCACCAAGCCGCGCGGGCCGCCGAGGCCCGCAAAGACGGCGGCGCTCGGCCGCCGTGGGCCTGCCGCCGCGGGCTGCCCTGCCGCCGTGGGCCGCCGTGGCTCGAGGTCCGCATCTCCAGGGCCCCCTGGAATGGGCATCGTTTAACCGACCCCCATCCCCATGAGCGTGGCCTGGGCTCCCATGGCCGATTCACCCCCTAGATGAGGATGTAGGCCGTTCCCTTCGGGCTTCGAGGCGTGCCCCCAACTGGGGTGCAAGGATGCTGGGGGTCTGGATGGGGATGGGGATGGGGTTGGGGCTCGGTTAAACGATACCGATAAACCAGGAGGATGCTGACCAGGACTTTGACAATGGCCCCCTGGACTTATCTTGTTTCCCCCGTAGTTGAGGACCACATCCGAGAAATTCGCCGGCCCAACGGGCCAGAGGCGTGCTAAGACCTCCAGTAATTGGTTAACAATATTTCTAGTTCGCGCGCGCGGGGCGGCCCCTGGGGGTCCCCGGACGAAAAAGACCCTGGCAAGGTCCCGGGCGGTCCGACTCAGAGATGGTTTTCCTCCTGGGCGCGGCCTCTCAGGCCCCCAGAGCGCGCCAAGAGGGCCCCAAGAGGCCCCCAAGACTGCCCAAGAGGCCCCCGAGACGCCCAAAGAGCGCTCCATGACGCCGAAGATGACCCCATCATGGCCCAAGATGCCTCCAAGTGGCCTCCAAGAGGGCCCCGAGAGGCCCGAAGGATTTTGGCCTTGTCGCCTTTTCGGCTTTCCGATGCTCCAAGACGGCCCACGAGGCCCCCAAGAGCGCCCCAAGACGGGCCAAGAGGCTTCCAAGAGGGCCCCAAGAGGGCTCCGAGACGGCCCAAGAGGCGCCCAAGACGGTCCAAGAGAGCCCCAAGACGGCCCCAAGAGGGGCCCAAGAGGGGGACCACGAACCGAAAACTCGAGCCTTCCGCCCCAAGAGGGCCCCAGGAGGCTCTGAGAGGCCCCCAAGAGGCCCCAAGATGCCGCCAAGAGGCCCCCAAGAGGCCCCAGGAGGCCTCCAGGAGGCCCAAAGGAGGCCCCAGGAGGCTTCAAAAATGCTTCCCAGGCGCCCCCGAACGACTTCTCAAAAGACCCCAAGGGGCCTCCCAAAGAAGCATCTTGACGACGACCCTGTTTGGCCCCAAGAGCAACACAAGATGCCAACGAGAGGCTTCCTCCTCCGCCCCCTCCTCTTCCTCCTCCTCCTCCTACTTATCTTCATCCTCCTCCTCTCCTTCTTATCCTCTCCTCCTCCTCCCCTCCCCTTCCCCATCCTCATCTTCCTCCTTCTCGGCGGAGCCATAATGGCCCCGAACCCACGGCGAAGCAAGAGCGATCATGCAATATGGGCCGGCGGAATGAGCGAAGCGATTGAATAACTTCGAGCCCCCTGAGAAGTATCGAAACCATGTCGAACGAGCATCGCCTCCCAGGGCCCGACACGTGAAAACCCTCCAGATTCGGTATTTTCTTGGTGCTCGAATTTCTTTCTGGTGATCAAGGCTAATAAAAATTGGAACATCATAACCCTATACCAGGACGATGCTGACCAGGACTTTGACAATGCAGCCTGGAGGGAGCGAAGAACGGAGCATACATCGGCCCACGGCGGCAGGTTTCTCGGGCGCGCCACTGTCCTGGCTTTCCTCAACATCCCCCTTGAAAAAGGAGGCCCTGAGACCTTCTCAGCACGGAGTCTCCACACAGCCCCGACACCTCCTCGGGTCGGGCGAACGAGGGGGATACCAAAGGATGTCTTAGCGAACCAGCTCACGCAGCTGGTTTCCCCAGCGCCTCCCGGTGCCAGAGGCGGCCATGTACCGAGGAGCGCGCTGGGTGGCGAAGCCGATACCAACTGCACATACTTCGTACGTTCCACCCTGTCCCAATCCCTGTGTCTGGCCCGACTTTCTCCTCAAGGACTGCTTTTCGTCCTGGCCAATCTTTCGTTCGCCGGCCCCAGGGCGGGGTGAACGCCCACGGATGCCGAAAGAGGTAGAAGACTTCCGTACACTCGAGACCCTCCGCCGGCCCAAACTGAAGGCAATTCGAGGGTGCCCTCCCTAGGATGCACAAGAACATCCAAGGGTACCCTCCCCGAACCGACTTCGATCTTATACCTCGGTCCGACTGTATTTCGAGGGACGAACAAACATGAACGTACATTGTTCGAGGTCCGCGCGGATTTCTTGGATCGGCGCTGGAGCTTCCTGGCGGCGCCTCTGGCGCCGCCCCTGACGCGCTCCGCGCGCCAGCAGCGCCGATCCAAGAAATCCGCGCGGAGCTCAGAAAATTCATGTCTATGACATTGCTTCGATAGTCCTCGGAACGTGTGTCAACGCAAACGTGAACTTTTCTACCGAAGCCCTCCAATGCGACGCAGGCGGCGTAACTAATGATGGCTAACACGGGCTGCGGGCTGCTGAAATAAGGAACGCTCAATACGGAACGAAGCTCCTTCTTGGCCCAATAATCAATCGCCTGCGTGCACGAGGAGGGCTACAGGAACTGCCATGTAAGGACCTAAGCAACGTCGAGCCCCTTCCGAACCCAAACAAATCCTGATTTGAGCGTCTTGACTGTCTCGACTGCAATCGAAGAAGAACAAAAGACATAAACATAAACTTTTGGCGCTCCGCGCGGATTTCTTGGATCCGCGCTGGACCACCCTCCCAAAGGCGCGAAGCACGCCAAGGGCGGCGCCGGAAGCGCCGCCAGGGGGGCCCATGCGGATCCAAGAAATCCGCGCGGAGCACCAACAATTTATGTTTGTGCCGTTGCTTCTTCTTCGATTGCGTGCTCCTCGAACACTGCACTGCTGCCCACCTCTCCTCCCCACAGAGGAAAGCCACGCTGCGGTGGGCCGAGGGGCCGGCGGCGGGCGGCCGCCGGCAGCCGGGCCGCGCCCGGGGCGCGGCCGAAGGGCGCCGCACGGCAGCGATGCCGAGCTTCTCGGCGGCGTCCTGCTGCTCCTGGGGGCCGGGGCCGGGAGATACCGACTATTATTTGTTGGTCTACCCGCCACACTTGTGGTCGTTTTTTTTATTCGGCGTTTCCAAATTGGGCGGAAGTGTGGGGGGGAGGGGCGGGGGTCTGGCTCTGGGCCTCTGCTTAGCGCGAGGGTTTGCAACAGTGCGTCCTATGTTGGAGACTTGATTTGCTCGAAACAAGCGCCAAAAACCGCCACAATCTGCTCCATGGGGGGGACGGGGGGGTGCGAGGACCCGCGTCGATCGGCAAAGCAATGAATAAAAAACGATCACCTTCGAGTCCACCACCCGGATCCACGTTTGGCATACAAGAACTGCGCCCCAGGGAGGGAGCTCTGTAGACGAAGCCCACGACCAGGACCCCCGCCCACGGGGCGGAGATAAGGGCGCCGCCGCCGCCGCGGGCGCCGCCCACTAGTCTCCAGTCGACCTGCGGGGAACAAGCCAGGTACATCCATCCGAATAGATCGGATAACATCCAGACATCTCAGAGAACATCTGAAGCAAATGGTGGACGCTGCAGCACGGGTCGAGGGGCAACCGAAATCGTCAAACCCTTCACGACCCCCTCTGCCGCTCCACGCCGTGCTTTGGCCCCCGTGCCCCCGTGGCTCCTTACCTCTCGCGTCGTGAACAAATCATAGAGGCCCGCAGATGGGGCTGGAGTAGATGGGGTCGGACCCCATCTTGGAGGCCTAGCAATCAGGGCCGGGCGCAAAAGCAAAACGGCATGAACAGAAACTTCGGAGGTCCGCGCGGATGTCTTGGATCTGCGCCGGAGCCCCCTCCCTGGCGCGCGGAGCGCGCCAGCGGCGGCGCCCGAGGCGCCGCCTGGCGGGGGCCCAGTGCCGATCCAAGAAATCCGCACAGACCTCGGACAGATTCTTGCCCCTCCGTGTCCCTTCGACTCTGCTGCGAGCCTTGCCGATCGCTGCGCGCGCTGCAGCGACACACAGCAGCCCGCGTGCTTGCCTTAGCCCCGCCGCGCTTGGTCAGCCGCGCACTCCTCGGGGATCTGCTGACCCGGGTCAATCCGAACCCCGGTCAACTTTGCGGGATGCAAGATCCTGCACGCAAGCCTGTGTCAATACACCCCAGGCTCGGCAGGATCTTGCAAGATCTGGCGCTCTGGCTGATTTCCGTTGCATTGACCCCCGTCCCTTGAGCCCCGAACTCCGAGGGCTGCGCACTGGAGGATCCCTCCAGAGAAGGGCCCCTCCTGCGCGTAATGGGCGTCGCTGTATGGGGGGCGACAATGAATGGGGGAGGGGGAAGACAGGTATACTTTTCGGGCCCTGAAGGCCCTCTTTTGGGCCGTATCCAAGGGCCCCACAGGGCTCTTTTTTCTTCGGCCCTCGCTGCCCCCCCACTTATCGCCCCCCATTACAGCCAGACCTAGGACACAAAACCATCCTGGAAGAACATGAACCCTCCACTGGCCCAAACCGTAGAACATTCGAGGGTGCCTTCCCCCAGGATGCACAAGAACATCCAACAAACACGAACAACATCAGGGTACCCTCCCCGAACCGACCTTGACCTTATACCTCGGACGCGCGAGGAGCCCTTCCTGCGCGCATGGGGCGGCCCTCGGCCTACGAGGGGGCCCCAAGGTGGGCCCTCCAAATGCGGCTCGGGACGAGGATCCGCCCGCCACTCGGGCGTTGGCAGAACTGGGTTTAGTGGGACCTGCTTTAGTGATTTGTACTCGGGGACGCCCCCCCGCCCCGTTCCACTGAGCGGAACTGCCGTCGCCCGAAAAAACACCAGCTACGGCAGACCTGGTTTAGCGATTCTGGCAAATTTAGGGGCTCCAGGGCCCAACCCCTAACCGGGTCCCCTTATCTGGGGTCCTGGCTATACCCGAGACATCCCTGGGCGGCTGGTACAGCCAACGCATATCATAAGGACGCACGAGAAGGATGCAGGGGCCTTGGAAGGCCATGTCGAGACTTTTCGGACGGGGCGCCGCCAGCGAAAGTGGCCGATGATGGGCTGAAGGGGCAAAGATGCAAGGGCCACGGAAGTCGCTCATCCTTACTGTGCGTTTTGACTGTATTGAGGGGTGACCTAAAGGGGGGTGAAGAAACTGGCACTGCAAAAGCCCTTCCGTGGCCCTCTATGTAGTTCGCCCCCCAACATTACCCGCCCGACACCATGGGAAGAGGGATGAATACCGGCTAAGACACATCAAGCCAAGAGACCCTCGATGCGGGCATCAAGGGATTTTGATATCCACCGTAGGCCCGCACGGCAGACCGCTTGCCGGGTCTGCCGCCAAATAGTAGTGAGCCACGCACGAGGCAGGGCAGGGGCGACACTGCCAACCCGAGAGCCGCAGGGCGATGCGGCCGATCCCCTCAGGGGGTCCGACTGCGACCGCGGCCTGCAGGCTGGACAGGACGGGCCGCCGAGGCCAGCGAGCGAGGGCATCCAGGGAGGAGAAGGGGGAGGGGGAGGAGGAGGATGCCGATGATGAGGACCAAGATGTATGGTGAGGTTGCAGCGTGGGAGGTGATGTGGGGAAGGCTTGCCGTTGTGCAGTGCTCTGTGCCCCAGCGGGCTTCTCTTCCTGTCCACTGTTCTTCGCCCTTCTGTTTCCCATTCTGCACGCACTGGTTCTATAACGTTGAGTTTGATCGAGCGCTGCGTTCCGATCTCTTTTTTCTTGGATCGCGGTCATCAAGAAGCGATGGCTCACGCAAGCCAGCGTGTCCAACGTAAAAACGGCAAACATATAAACTTTCGGAGCTCCGCGCGGACTCCTTGGATCGGCGCAGGACCCCCCGTCCCTGGCGCGTGGAGCGCGTCAGGGCGGCGCTGAGAGCGCCGCCAGGGGGGACCTATCGCAAGTCCAAGACATCCGCGCGGATCTCCGGACACACTTTTACATCGCGGCGCGGCAGAGGCAATCCGCACGCGCGCCCGAGCGGGCCGGGAGGTGGCAGGCGCTTAATTGTCTCGCAGCAAGAGGGGGTGGCAGGAGGACGGGCGGGCGGCCGCGGGGAGCTCCGAAAACATGTGTTTCTGGAATTTATTCGGAGAAGAACGCGGCTCGGGATGAGGCGTCGATCAGTGGGAAGAGGTCCCACCCTCTTGGAAGCCACGCTGCGACGACAACCACAAAGGCACGGCGTCGGACATCTTGGACCCTCAAATTTTTAAAAGAGCAACTGATACCGTTCTTTGCCTGTTTTTTTTTGGGGGGGGGGGCGGACAACGGTAACACTTGGGAGGGGCGACGTACGCTGGGGCGGGGGTGCGCTGCGATCACCAACAATGTGCGCGCGAACACCAACATGTGGGTGGGGGTCCAAGCCCCCCCTGCCAACGATCGTTACAGTTACCTGGGGGAGGGGGTAGCCTGGGTAACGACCGTTAGTTACGCCCCAGAGGATAAAACACATCTCCCTCTGCCTCGGCCCTGCTGCATCCGCTGCGGGTGCTGCTGCTTCTCTGCTGCGAGGGGAAGCCTGAGCGGGTGACGTGGGCTGGCTGAAGCGCCCCAGGCTCGGCACTGCCACGGTGCCCCTGCTGTTGCTGTTGACCTGCTGCCGCCTCCTCTGGGACGAGAACGATGTCATGATAGGATTGGCTCAAAATACGCCCCAAAGATTCTGAGTAGCTAGCGGCCCTCCTCGTTTCAGCAACCCGTGTCGAACAGTCGGAAGTCTTGGAGATCTTGGGAAGCTTGGGACGTATCATTCTCATGACACTTCTTGCTCTTCTGACTCCTGCGCTCGCACGAAGGACGCTGATCCTCGGTGCGGCCCGACGGGCGCCCACCACGAGGAGGTGGAGTAGGCATGCCCCCCCCGCCAGTGCCCACTTCTGCCCCTCCCCCCCCTCGGTCTCTCCCTCACCTACGCCTGCGCGCGCCACACAGCGGCCTCCAGGCTGACACCGCCGCCGCGCGTCCCATCACCGCCAGATGGGGGAGCGCCCTCTCCTCCTCCTCCTCCTCCTCCTCCTCCTCCTCCTCCTCCTGCTCAAGGTCGACAGCCCAACCGCGTCCGAGTAACCGCTACAGGTCTGCGAAAGAGCTCGACGCGCGACACCGTTGACCACGGTGACCCGTCTGGATGCTGCTCGCGGCCGGGCAGCCCCGCGCGCTCCTTCGGCGTCTTGAGGAAGACCTCGCCGCCCGACTCCTCCTGCTGGGGAGGGGGGCTGCGAAGAGAGCGCGCGGCTGCAGGGGAGAAGCGGCGGCTGCAGGACGACTGCGGAGGGCGCGAGGGGACGCGGAGACGCGGGCGAAGCGGAAGGGCAAGAAGCAGAAAGGAGGAGCCTCGTCAACCTGCTACATATCCTCCTCCTCCTCCTCCTCTTCTTCCTCATCCTCGGCCTCCTCGTCCGATGGCCCGTCCTCGTCCTTGCGCTCGTCCTCGCCCTCCTTCTCTTCCCTCCTCCTCGTCCTCCTCTCACTTCATCCGTTCCGTTTCAGTTCATCTCCTTCCTCCTCCCTCCGCCCTTGCCTCTCCTCCCTCCGAACTCCCTCACCTCTCCCTCCACGGCGGGGAGCAGGGAAAGAGCGGGAGCTGGCTTGCAGGAAGGAGGAGGAGGAGGAGGAGGCGGAGGCGGAGGAGGAGGAGGAGGAGGCGGAGGAGGAAGAGGAGGAGGAGGCGGAGGAGGAGGAGGAAAGGGATGGGTGCGGGCAGGAGGACGAGGAGGACGAGGAGGAGGAGGTGGGGGTGGGCAAACGAATACTCTCGAGATCCACCGTTGCGAACATATTGCAACATCGCGAACAACCGCGACCAGAGCCCTAGGCTTTGCGGCATCTTCTGCGATGACCCCGCGGCCCGACGCCGGGCGAGCACGCCCAGCTGGCCATCGCTCGGACCTCAATTCCCTGTGTTTTTTTTGGGTATCGTGCGTGTTTTTTGCGCCAAGTGGTCAAGGATGCTCCTCGATGGTCCTCGCCGAAGGAAAAAACACACATGTCCGAGCGATGCCAACCCAGTGACATAATGACAAAATTGCAATGCCGCCGTTCAGGACGATTCTGGCACCCCTGGAGCGCTCTCGACGAGGCGAAGCTGCAGGGAAGCATCCCGAAGCGAACAAAAAACAAAACAGACCACGAAGACGCCGGCAAACTTCCGAGGACCATGGTCTCAGGGGAGGCAGAGGAGGACGATGAGAAGTGGGATGGTGATGAGGAGAATGACGGGGATGAGGAGGAGGAGGAGGAGGAGGAGGAGGAGGAGGAGGAGGAGGGCGAGGAGGGTGCCGAAGCACAGGGAGGGCAGCCGCTCCTGACCCTTCACGCGCTCGGTGATCTCCTCGGCCGGGCGGCCGCGCACCGAGGGTGGGGGGCCAGCCGCGGCCGCGCGGCAGCGGACGCCGCGGCCGCGCTGGCCGCTGGCGCGCCCAGCGGCCAGCGACCTCCTCCTCCTCCGACGATGGCGACGACGACGACGACGGCGGCGACGATGATGACAAAACGACAACGATCATGATGACGACGACGACGACGCCCCCCGCTGAGGCCGTTTTCGTCGCCGTAGGATCGGGGGGCGCAACTGTGAGGTGTGGGCACCGGTCGTCGTAGATGCTCTTGAGAACGCCGAGGTCGCTTCTTTTTGGCGCCTTGAGGATCTGCGCTTTTTATAAATTCGGGGCGCCGTTTTTGCTGCGTTTGCAGGTCGGGGATCGGCCCGTGGCCCACTGCCCTTTCTATTTCCGTTGTCTCTGCATCTGCGAGGCGTTTGTAGACATCAATGCCGACCACCTGACGCACACCATCCGGGATGCAGTTTTGAATACGTTTTGGTGAAGCCACCAGCGAGAAGTGGGGAACCAAACACGCCTCCAGCTCTTTGAAGCGCAACTCGGGCAGAAGTGGGGTCAGAGAAACATCGTTCACAGCGGTACCTGGATGAGCCTCCAGCTGGGCTTGTTTTCTAACCCCAGTTTGGGATACACCTCCTCTACATACTCTTGATTTAGACGGCCGTTGAAGACGACCATGCAACATGTGCATCCCCAGACCCCAGACATCCGGCGGCTTGAAACACTTGCACTGCATGTCGTTCCGCACTTTTGTGGACATATGGTTGGGCGTCGTTAGTCGGGGGGGCGATGCAGTGGGAGGGGGGCGGGAGAAAGGTGCACTTTTCGGGCCCTCAAGGCCACCTTTTGGGCCCCGAATGGCCACTTTAGGGCCTCGAAAAGGGCCCCTTTTCTGCAGCCCTCGCTGCCCCCCCATGCATCGCCCCCCCGACATGCGGCGCCCAATCTGGAAACCGATGTCGGGCCCCGGAACCTCCCGCCAACGACTCGGGACAGATCAGCCTCGGGGAGGAGGTCGAGAGCCCATGCCTCGAGCAAAGCGAGCTGCCAGGTGTGCTGGTGCACATCTGCTCCCGCCCTGTACCTTTGGAGGCAACCCGTGTAGTAAGGACGCACGATAAGGAGGCAAGGGCCTTGGAAGGCCATGTCGACGCTTTGCGGGAGGGGCGCGGCCAGCGAAAGCGGCCAAGGATGGGCCGAAGGGGAAGGATGCCAGGGTAATATTGGAAAGTGGCTCATCCTTACTATGCGGTTTGGCTGTAGGTGGCAACTCCTGGGAAACCTTCGTAAGAACAATTGAAGTGTATAAAGCCCGATTAAGGGGCTACCAATCCAGAATAGCCCAAATTGCGCTCACGATGAAGCCAGATTGTACGGGATTGAGCGGAACTGAACAGGAGCAGGCTGGTTCTCGACAGCGGACATACCAACGCCGATGCTGAATCTAACCTCCCAAGAATTGCATCAAAAATGAACCTCGAACTTCAGACCGCGACTTCTCCGATTCTCTCTCACTAGAGCCTCCTGCGTGTGCGTGTTATGGCTTCCCGCCCCCGCTGCAACCATGCGCCCATGCCACCACCTCGGTCGCCCTGCTTAGGCATGTTTCTCGCCAGTTAGCTATATGCGAACATGACTCCTTCTGCACCATAAATGCTCGAATCGGCTCTAATCCGCGCCCGCCCGCTTCCCGATCTTACTCCAAACGCAATGCACCACATGCCGAGCTAGAGCAACCCGCGCGTCCTGGAGAGCTCGCTCTACAGCCTGCGGGACGTCCGGCCAGGGGGCTGCCCCTCTCACTTCCTCTCGCTTTCTCTCTCGTTTGTCTCTCTCTCTCTCTCTGGAAATTAGCACCAACACACGGGGATGCCTCCTCGTTTTCTTGTGCTGGTGATAACCCATCGGCCACTTAAGAAGCCCGAATCTTACCACCATTACCGAAATCATGATCATCTTCCCTCGGTGCAGACATCTGCCGATAATGGTGTTGGTGCTAACCGTTCTCTCTCTCTCTCTCTTTCTCTTTCAATCACGTGCCGCTGTTCCTCTTCATCGGTTACCCCAATGCTGGTGCGCCTGACGTGCAGGCGCTCGAAATTACCATTTTTGTTGAAGGGAGAAGATGAGAGCGGACATCCCAGCGAAAGCCTCCACATGTGGCGCGAAAGGAATTCAGGTGGAACATTCGGGAGAGCAGACATGCGGACAATTAAACTATCCAGTGAGAAAAATGGGAGACACGTGCACTGCTTGCCGGAGAGAAGAAGTCGCACCCGGATTAAGACCTCGCGGTGGCAAGCGGTCGCAACCGAGACTGGGCAGTGCGACCAACAAAGTGACACCTAGAGTCCAGGGAGGAGGGAAGACGAGGGGAAGAAGGACGAAGGAGGGGGGAAACAACAAGCAAGCTAGGGTTGTATGCAAAACTAATTAGGGCGCAACACGAAGCTCCGTGAATCACCACGCAAACCTGCACGCCCTCGAACGTCGAACGGCCAGGCGGCAGCTCGATCACATGAAGTAGTAATCACCGAGAAGGCGGGAGGAGAGGAGGCAAACGGAGAGGGCTGACCAGGCCCGCAAAAAACAACGACCTAAGAGGGAGTGGCGCAAGAGGCTCTCGAAATTACCATTTGTGGGCTGCCAATGTGTAACAATGCCTGGACGACAAGCGTTGACCGTCAGGGAATACTCCTCCGTGCCTGCACGGAGTGGGCGTGTTAGAATGCTCCTTCGGTGGCTGGGATGTTTCTACTGCTTTATAGGGCCGACCCCACCCCTCTCATCGCACGCGCCGTCGAAAACCGTCTTCCCTGCATTTGCTCATCCGCGCGCTGTTCGTTCTCCAGTCGGCTCAAGAGGCTACCAAGACTGCTTCCAAGGCAACCAGGATGACACCAAGTCGGCAATATGGCCCAAGGGGGCACTCGAGGCCCCACGAACGGCCTCAAGACGGCTCACGAGGCTTCCAGGAGAGACCCTCCACGAGAGCCCGAAAACACAACACATTGGCCCAAGGATTTTGATGCCTCACTTAGTTGAGCTTCCGACCGCCCAAGACGGCCCAAGAGGCCTCAAGATGGCTCCAAGACAACCGATGAGGTCCCCAAGAGAACCCCCAGTCGGCCCACGAGGAACTCAATAAAGGAGCGAAACCCACCTGCGTTCGGCCAGCTCGGCGGCACCACGCGCTCGCACCCTCTCTTGGCGGCGCGCACAAGAGGGTGGAGGGAGGGGGAGGGCTTCTTAGAAGGAGGCTGCTTCTTAGAAGGCGCCGGCCTTACGTCTACAGATAAGGCTCGCACCTGGCAAGAAGCAGGGGTGCTTCTAAGAAGCCCTCCCCCCTCCCCCCACCCCCCTCTGCGCGTGGCACCCTCTCGCCGCCGAAGTGCCTCGCCCTGGCTGCCGCCAAACCTCGCCCCGCCCCCTGCGCAGCAGCACGACAAACCCCTACCGCCGCCTGCCTCCAGCCTGCTCGTGCGGCGGGCGCACGCGGACCCTAGCGCGCGTACGACCCGGCGGGAACTCACCCAGATGAGGCTCCGAAGCCAAACCGACCTCGGGAGCACGGGGCTCCGCAGTTCACTGAAGCCTGGTCCAAACTCCACGCCCCCCCCCCCCGCCGTCTTCCCAGCACTCCTCCTCCTCCCCCCCTTCTCCTCCCTGCCCTCCTCCTGATTGTCCTCCTACCTGCCCTCGCCCGCTTCTCCTCCCTGACTCCCCCCCTTTCCCTCCTGCCCTCCTCCTGATTGTCCTCCTCCTCCGCCTCCTCCTGCCTCCTCCGCCTCGCCGTCCTCCCCCCGGCGCGTGCTCGCAGGCGGCCAGGCGAGGAGCAACGAGCAGCGTGCCTCGTCCAGGAGGTCCGAGAGCTTGACCGTCTCGCCGGACCTACCCCGCAGGGCGGCGGGGCGATCGTTGGGCCAGGGCCCGCAGGACGCCCAGGTCTGGCGGCGAGCGAGGGGGGGGAAGCGAGCAGGAGAACGAACGAACGAACGCCAGAGTCGTGCGTGCTCCTCTGGGGAGCACGCCCGTGCCCACTAAGGCATGGCGTGGAGGCCGTGGCCTCGACAGGAAGATCTTCTACGTGAAACGTATGCCCGCTCATATGATGACCACCACTCTGTGCACACGAGTGAGAAGGAGAAAGCCTTCTCCGAATGCGGCGGGACTTCTCAGAAGCCCTCGCGCCTTCTGAGATTTTTTTCTGTGTTTTCGGGGGAGACCGAGAAAACTTCTCAGGAGGCCGGGGGACTTCCGAACCTTCTGAGAAGGCCTTCTCCCTCTCACTTCCCCCCTCGCTCGCCGCCGACAGGTCTGCCCAAGTTGTGACACAGCTCCTGAGAGGTCTTCCTGAGAACGACATGGGCTATCAGGCTGGTGCGCAAGATTGGCCCGGCGTGAGCCTGGGATGCATCCAGAGTGCAGTCGGCCTTGATCGGAGAGGACACGCGAGAGGACACAAGACCCTTGCGAGGGCCACGTTGCCACAGGAGTGTAAGAAGGCACGTGTCGCGAGGCACAGGACACAAGGGTGCCCTTGAGCTGGCAGGGTACTAATCTGGGCCGACTGTAAGCGGGACTCTGACGGATTGGGCCTGCTTTCGGCCATGGACGGACCAGCGGCGATGACGAGTCCAGCCTCCCAGGAGTTGCATCCCTAGATGAGGGGGGCCGAGAAGATGGCGGTTGGCGCTTCGTGGCTCGAGGCAAGCACGCCGGGCGAAGGGTTGCTGCAGGACGTCTTGAGAGAGGCAGGAGGAGGAGGAGAAGGCAGGAGGAGGAGGAGGAGGAGGAGGAGGAGGAGGAGGAGGAGGAGGAGAAGAGAGGAGAAGGCAGGAGGAGCAGGAAGAGAGGAGGAGGAGGAGGAGGAGGAGGAGGAGGAGGAGGAGGAGGAGGAGAGGAGGAGGAGGAGGAGGAGAGGAGGAGGAGGAGGAGGAGGAGGAGGAGGAGGAGGAAGGGGGGCACGACATCTAGGAGATAGCTGGGCCCCAACTCTGACCTCTCAACCCCCCTGGTGCCCATCCGCCTCGCGGACGCCTCCGGAAAACAGACCCTGCACAAAAACGGGCCCTGAACACTGGACCATCGCATCCCCCCCCCCGGGACACGCTTGTCCACGATGGGCGACCCGGCCACGGATGGCCAGAAAAGGCCGCAGGAGGGGCCGAAAACGGCGAACTCCAGGATCCTCTGGCGACACACAGACACCCGATGCTCTGATTTTGCATCACGGGGTCCTTCTAAGTCCCGACCCCTTCCCCGAACCCAGCTTTTCATCCCGAATTGAATTTGACTGTCCCGAAGCCTGGCAAAGGCCCTCGGAGCCTGAATATAACGGAAGCCATCTGTCGTGTATTTTTCCACGATGCGAGGGGGTCTGGGTACAATCAAACGTAGGACAGAAGAACATCCTTCGAGAACATGAGACCCTCCGCCGGCCCAAACACACAGAACATCCTAGGGTACCCTCCCCACGATGCACACGAACATCCAACAACCACGAAGAACATCAGGGTACCCTCCCCGAACCGACCTCGATCTTATACCTCGGTCCGACTGTGCGTTTTTTTGTCGGGGGGAGGGGCGCCCCGCCCACCGCGACCGACAGCGCGCCCCCACTGAGGGCACTTCTGTAGCCCGCAGCGCGGGCTGGATTGACTGAATCACAATGCCCAGCCCAACGGTTCTCTCAGAGCATTTGACGAACTGCAAGCTACTTTAAGCCACCAGCCAGACAAGACATTGGTAAAACGCACACTGCAACCAAACTGGCCTGCCCCGACTTGCCACACCGCCCACAATGTAGCCGAGCACAACAAGACGCGATACGCGTGCAAAACCACACCCGCACGATGTGGCCCACGAGAACAAGCCGTGGTAAACATATTGATGAAGGCCTCCACCTGCACCAGCACGACAACAAAGAAGAGCCGAAAGGTGTGAACCGCCACGCAGAAAGCCTAGGCTGGAGGCCACATCCACATCGCAACAGACACACCAAGAACCCCTCCAGAAGCAGATGAGGCACCAGGGCACACCAGGCCCGAGAACGAGGGGAATGCTAGCCACCACGGCTCGTCTCTCGAAGGAACCACCACGCCAAAACCTTTAACACCACGGTGAAGCACTGAATTCGACCCGGTGTTGCGCCGCCCCGTACCCCAACATCACGGAGCGGAAGACGACGGCCTCAAGCCGCAGCAACACAAGCGAGCATTGAGCCCCGGGAGGAGCGCAGGCGCCGGCTCGAGCCCAATGCTGCAGCCAGGCTTGAGCGCCTGGCTTGAGGAGGGATGAGGATGAGGATGAGGATGATGATGACGAGGAGGAGGAGGAGGAGGAGGAGGAGGAAAGGGAGACGAAGAGCAACCCATCGGCCGACATCTATGATCAAATATGGGTCGGCTGTGTGACGTAAGCCGGAGAATCAACAACACACCTTCGCCTGCTCCAGCCCGGGAGCCTTAGAACGGATGCTGCGGAGACCGCCCGCTCTGCACATCAACTTGGGCTCCCCAGAAGATCCCGACCCCCGCCCCCGCGGATCAGGTTGCTTGTTGCTGTGGCGGTGAAGACATTTCATCGACATTCGGCCGACGTCTGGCAAGGTGAGACCGCTTCGCCCACGGGCCAATGCATTGGCGGGCGCGTTGCAATCACCTGACAGACAGAGGGGATCAAACAACTCTTCAGCCTGGGGCTCAGATGCTTACCGCATAACCAAAGGAAGACCCCTCCCCCAGCTCCTCGCCTGGGGGCTCCGCTCCCGATGGCCCCCGCGCGGGGCTCGACCACGGGCCCCGGAGAGGCCGAGGTCGGGGAGAGACACGCTTGGAGATGAGGGGCAACGCCAGGAGGGGGACACATCGAGCTGGAATCGGCGAGACGTCGCCGATATATCGTCGTCATCGTCGTCGTCGTCGTCGCCGTCGCCATCGCCGTCGTCGTCGTGGCGCCAGATCTCGGGGCCCAGAGGTGGCGGCCAGGGCCCCTGCAAGGCCCGCCTTTTGCTCCGCGGGCGGCGGCCCCAGCGCTGCTTGGCCCCCGCCTGCAGACGGCCCCTGCGCGGCGATGGGGGACGTGAGACAGTGAATGAAGCCCCTGTCGATGATTCGATGATCGGCGGAGCTGAGCCGAGCGACGCGAGACAAGGAACCAAGCTACTTCTGGGCCCCAGTGTTGGGCCCGAGAGGGCGCCGAGGCGGCCCCAAGAACGCCCCAGAGCGCCCCAAGAGCGTCCCGAGAGGCGATTATAGGGACTCTGGAGGGGGTCGCCAATTAGGAACCCTAGTTCTTGGATCGATGTCCTTAAAGACGGTCCCACGAAGGCCTACAAGGCTCCCAAGAAGGCCCCACGAGGCCCGAAGAGAACCCCAAGAGGCGCCCAGGTGCACGATGGGCGCCGGGAGAAGAGCCGCGGAACGACCCAAGACACTTCGAAACCCTTTCGAAACCGCACTGGGCTTTCTCCCTCAGAGCTGTTCTTCGTTGCAGTATACGCCGCCACTGGCCCTGGCCGAGCTCATCTTGGGCCCCCGCCTGCTGGTGGTAGTGCACGAAATTGCCATCTTCTGCTTGACAGGCAAAACAGCCAACGGCTCGAACAAATAAACACGGCCAACATGTCGCACCCGTGCGCTTTAGTAAGCCGCCGTCATAGACGAGTCAGAATGAAACGTCGGCCCCGGGGAGGGGTCGAGAGGTCAAGCTCTCGCAAAACAAAATACGCGTCTCCAAAAGGTCGAGCCGCCAAATGGCTGGTACCCTCCCGGGCGAAGGAGCCCGATCACACCAGCGGCGGTCTCGCACTTTGCAGTGTGCTTTTGCCCTTGCCTGCCCTGTAGAGGCCTCCCTCCGCCCTTACGCCCTCCTGTGCAAGGGCTGAAGAGACGAGAGAGGATGGGGAAGAGAAGGTCGGGGAATCCTCGTCGCTGTCTTCCTCCACCTCCTCCTCGCCTCCCGCTCCTCATCTCCGAGCGGCCCTCTGCCCTGGAGGCCTGGTCTTGAACTTCTTCTTGTCCTCGCCCTGCACCACGCCGAAGCCCATGTGGTCGACGCGCGTCACCCCGGGCCTCGGTATGGGACGGCGCAGCTGAGCGGGCGAGGGGGGCACCGCTGGCTGGGGGCGCGTCTCGCCTGGATTCCTTCCCTCCTCCACCTTTACTCTCTCGCTCCCGCCACGCCCCCCCCCCCTCCCTTGCAGGCCCCCCCTTCCCTTCCCTGGCCCTCCTCCCTCAGTCCTTCCCCTCTCCCATCTTCCTTGCCTCGCTCCCTTCGTATCTCCCTCCTCCTTTTCATTCCCCGCCCCCCCCCCCCACTCCTCTTTCCCTCCCTTGCTCGTCCCATGCCATCCCTGCCTCCCTCTTATCGTCCTCCCTTCCCCCCCTCTCATCATCATGATCCTGCTCCCTCTCCTGCTCCTGGCTCTCCTCCTCCTCCTCCTCCTCCTCCTCTTTCTCCGTAGCCATTTTGGCTCAAGAGGGGCGCAGCCACGCGGGGCCTCGGGCCGCGGTTGGCGATGGCGGGACTATCATCCTCGTTGTGATGACCAAGGCCCGTTAGATGAAGCCGGTCATGGTGGTGGATACGATGACGGAGCAGGCCGGGGACAGCCTCGACCAGGCCGTCAAGGGCAAGAAGTTGCTCGCTGCGCATGCGGCGGCCCGCTTCCTGATGTTTTTGGTGTTGGTGAAGGTTGGTGGAGAGTTTGTCGCCCGGCGGACGACAGCAGTGAAGCCAAAGTGTCGTATCTTTTCTCCAGCAAGAGAAACCTCGCACTCTCTTTCCTCAGTACACAGCTCCCAACGCTGTACAAACAAGGCGCGGAACGGTATAGGAAAGGAAGAGGGGTAGGGTGGATATGGTATGAGTGATGAGGAATGAGTGGAAGTTGGGTCTTGAGCCAAAATGGTTACGACCCATGCTCGTGACCTTCAAGCTCAGGGAGTCTAGCAGGGGCATCGGCCTTGAAAACCACCGGCCTCTAGACTCAAATCACACAGTACCCCGACAAACAGTGAGCTTGATAGGTCGCGAAGGCACCGTGGCTCTCCTCCGAGCCAATGGGTCGCACCATCTTGGAGAGAGAGGAGTGGGCACTCTAGTGCCATTCATGTAAATACTGCTGCTGCCGTCGTGCCGCAGCGAGTCCTGACGACCTCGCTCCGGCCTGGCTGGTCACTGATATCTCGCTCGGCCCTGACGACCCTCGAGAGACGTGCACCGGCCATGTCCCGCCAGACCGTGACGACTGTCACTCGGCATGGGACGGCTGAACAGCACTGGCCTTGCCATCGTTCTCCTGCTGCTGGAGTTGCCTCTGGGATTCGGCTCTGGAGCGGCCTTTCCTACGGGGATCCTCGCGCCGGCCCTCGAGGGCCCCGCTTTCCGCCGAGAGACGCAAACACCCGGAGCGAAGCAGCTCATATTGAGCCGCGTTGGTTTTGGCAAGGTCCGATTTCGTCATGCAATCGACCGGAAGTAACGGGTGCGGCATCCAACGAATCACGCTCCCGACCTTTTGCATGATATCCCGAACGACCGCGAGGTCGATCGCGGCCCGACGATCGGATCGAGAGCCATTTGATAGCTTGCTGAGGGTGTCATATATTCCCTTGGCGTCGACTATGCTGACACACTCCGAGGGCGAGTGAGCGATCAGCTGGCAGTCTTCCTTCAAAATGGCCGCAAAGGGGCCGACTTTCCCCTGCCAGGCTTCTGACACCACGTTCCCTCTCACAACATCTTCGAACATGAGATGAAGCCACTGAGCTTCAGCAAGAGCTCCGGAAAGCGCCAGCGTCTCTCCTGCGAGAGTGCTCGCCACCTGGCGCTTGACTCGGCATGATCTCCAGGCTAGGGGGGTGGCCCTCGCACGTTGACCGTGCGCTAGAGCATTGTCTGCTAAATAGACCTGCCATGCTTGTTGTGGAAACATGCAGTCATCCGAGCCGACTCCTCCGCAGTCGCTGGCCGTCGCGAAAATGCAGCGGGAGGGGTCGAACTTGTGAATTATCACGGGCATGCTGGCCGTGGACCTAAGGTGATCCACCATCTTATGTGCCTCGACCAGGTCTCTGACGCATGGTGAGTTCACCTTGGTCGCTAGAATAGACGCACAGCCGGCAGCCTCAGCGCGGGACTCCCGTCCAACCCAGTTCAGTTTGTAAACCAGGCTTCGGAACTCCGCCACCTCCGTCCCAACCAGGGGGCTGGAGTGATCCCCACGACGCCCCCTTGACAGCGGTATCTTGCGGACCTGCTCGAGAATATATTTTTCCTGGTCCACAAGAATACGCGGTGTGGCGGTACCGTGTCCCACGAGTCGAAGCCTTCGACCGATATACTCAACTCCGGCCTCGTCGAATTTCTCCATTTTTCCAAACGTGAAACGCTTCTTAAACTCGGTCAAATACTTGTTCTGTTGACCCGGAGGGAAAGCGATAGCCCAGTCGTCAACCTCCAGCAGCACCTGCGCGACTAGGCGACCATTCTCCTTCTGGGAAAACCAGCAGGGCTCCAACTTGGCCCTCGTGAAGCCTTGCCCCTCCAGAAACCTGGCCGACGTCTCATGAAACGCGAGAGGTGCGTCATCGAGCCCATACACAGGAGCAATGAGCTCAATGAGAGCTCCGGCCGGAAGGTTCAAGCCCTCGCAGGGCTCCACAAAAACCCGCCCTCTGGGCCGCTTAAGCGGATCGGACTGACAAAAGGCGTTCTTAATGTCGCCTATATGGGCCTCTAAGCCATACATGAGAGATATGGCCAGAAACAGCATGAGAGATTCCATGGATGGCGTAGGGGCATAAACTTGGAGTTCAGCGGTGCCCTCGTCTTGGTGTCCCCTCACGCACCAGCGCGACTTCGCCTTAGGTCGGGCTCCGACGCTGCCTTGGGGTTTCCAGCGGCGGACCATCCGACTCGAGACGACCCGATTGGGAAACAGCTGCCTAAGTTGACGCCCCTCGGCCGGAGCGTGAACTTTCACGGACTTGGTGGCAACGATCACCTCCCACTCCTGCAAGTCGGAAGAGGCGAATTCCCTCTTTTCTTCGGGCGTGAGGTCTTTGAGACGCACCTCGCACCCTCGATTAGCTAACAGTGAGAGAGAAAAACCACCCGATTCTCCGGGCAGAACTTCACAGTTGGCATTGCCGTTGTGATACTGAGCCCAGGTGCCACTCCATCCTTCCTCGTCTAAAGCTCTTTCCACGTCATTGACGTGCGACACGAGTTCCTCATCGCTCATTTCCAGAAACGCATCTATCTTCGCGTCATTCATCTCAAGAAAGCCTGACATAGGGAAGTCTTCCATGGCGGATCCCGGGGGCCGCTCGGGGGGAGGGGACCTGGAGCGCCTCGCTGGCCTGGATTCCGGCCGACCTTCCAGCTCTTGGACCTGGGTCCGAACACGCCCCGGTGGGAAGTCCTCTCCCCTGGTGACCGAAAAACGCTGACCCTGACGTTTCATGCCCAAGTCTAATATCTCGTTCCGAAGAACCGTTCCATCCATAATCGGCCTTGGCACATTGGACTCCCCACTGGGTGCACCATCGCCCGGGACTTGTCCGGCATTGCGGCTCTCGTCCATGCGGGAGTCTGCTGCCGGATCAGCGATGACGGACGCCTGCTGTGGCTCGGCCTCCAGCCGTCCTCCTTCTGGAGCCTGTTGGAGTGGGAGAGGCTGAGAGGAAGAGGAGTTGGAGGACTGACCCTGCACTGGGCCGCTCGAGAGCGGAGGGAGCAAGGCAGCCCCCTCCGGATCAACTTGAATACTTGTGCGGTCGCGACTCTTCTTCCTCGTCCCCTCCCTCGGTACTGACCTGCCTAGAGCGAGATAAATCTGTGGGTGGCCTGGTCTCGCTCCCTGGACCTGGACCCGTGGCGTCGGCGACTTCTTCCTCTGGGATGGGCGACAGCCCGGGAGGGGGAACCGGCCGCTGAACGTTGCCCCCAGGAGCCCGAGACCTGGCGGGAGGAGGAAGCGGAGCCTGAATGGGTGAGGCTTCCACTTCCACACTGTGTCCTGGTTCCCAGGCCTCACGAGGTGGCGGTCCTTCGGCCGCCACGTTGACCCCCACGCCCGTGCGGCCCACTTGGGCCTCTCGAAGAAGTTTCTGGACCCCAGGGTCAGACATAACTTCAGCGCCCTGACTCTCTGGTGACGTCGCAAGCCTGACTTGCTCGGATGAGCACTTCCACAAGCGACTCCTCATGGCAACCCACACGGCCCCTCCGGACTGAAGGAGCACCAGTCCAGGTCCGACCCAACGGTCACGCTGGAGCGCGTACGTTTTCTTCCCGGAGGTCGGGGCTCGGCGCCAGACGAAAACCCACTGCCCTGGATAGACCCTAGCATCTCTGTGGACATTGCCCTTCGAGGCTTCCGCCAGCTTCCGCCTGCTTGAAGAGCGAAAAAGCTCCTGTCGAGCCAGATCCCGAATAGCGTGCTGCCTGGCATAGTCCGCGGCCGCCGTGTCCTGGTCCCATGCCGTCTGAACGAGGTCTCCCTCCCCCACCTGTCTCACGCCATCATCTGACAACATGTCATTGGGGAGTCTTGGGTTGACCCCATAAACGAGTTGAAAAGGGGTGTAGCCTCCTCTGTGGAGGTAGCGGTTCTTGGCTGCCACGACCTCGTGGAGAAGGGATTCTAACTCGGCTCGGGTGGTGATGAGACTGCTCTCGGAGGCCCTAAGCAAAATCTGTTTCACCCACCCTCCGTGGCGCTCAACACGCCCATTTTCCCAGGGACTCTCGGCGTCTATCACGTGCTGGAATACGCCGAGATGCTCAAGGCCTCTCTCGAAATGGCCCTTGAACTCGGCCCCCCCATCCGAAAGCACCATTTCAGGAGGTCCGAAAGGCCTGATCCAGGCCCTGAGAAAAGCCCTCCACGCCCCCTCCGAGGTTCCGTCGAAAACTTCCACAATCTGGAGATTCGTGCCGTGGCAAATGCAATTCAGCACCGGAATCGATTCCTCTTCAAAATTAACGTAGAAAGTATCGTCAGCCATCACCCTGTTAAACTGGAAAGTACGTGGCATGGCCACTGAGCGATGCCCGGCGGGCTCAACTTGGGCTTGGCGATCGGCACACTCATACTCGTCTCGGACAAATCGGATGACCTCGGGACGGGCGTGTGCCGCGCGCAGGACCTTAAGAAAGATCTCTTTGCGAGGATGTCCCAGATTCACATGAACCTTGTGCATCAACCGCTTCATGGGCGCGGTTATCTCCACTTCGTGCTCTCCAGGAACCTCCTGGAGAGCGGGCTCCTCGGCCTCACCTTCCGCGTCTTCTCCCAGCTCTGGAAGCTGCTCCGAGGACTCAGCCTGACTGGGGAAAGCCTCGACCCCAACCCGGCACACCCCAAGATCTTCTGAGCAGATTTCCGCCATTTCCTCAATGGTGAGGAGACTCTCTTGTTCCTGAATGCTTCTGAGCACTGCATCGGCGAAGGCCTTGCAGAGCTTAGGGGGGTACACCTGTGACTTCCTGGTTGTGTGTCCCCCTTCCAGGTGATGATGTTCGTGGCCGCCCCTACACTGCCGTCCTGACAGCTGGCGAAAAAGGGCGGAGTCGTTGGTCATGACACGGGTGGATTTGCGAGAAAGGGTCCCTTCGACCACGGACAGACCGAACTCACACTGGTCTATGACCACCTCCATGACCCCCGGAAGCTTCCTGATCATATCCACAACATGCTTTCGCCAGGACGCGGCCCCATTCGGATGCTCAAAAGCAAAACGTCGACCCTCCTGAACCTGAACAAGCGCAAGCTTCATGCAGAAAGCCAAAAGGTCCAGAGCTTCTCTTTTCTTGCGCTCTTGAAGCTCCGGAGGCTCGGGAGAGGTTTTCCGAAAAAGCTCTCGGATCGGACTGAACTCAGCGCACGGGGGCTCCAGGAAAATCATCCACGGCTTCTTGGTCCGAACGAGCTCCATATCCCTGTCCTGATCGTCTTTCTTCCTAAAGTCCCACCCCGTCGCCAGATCGAGACTGCCCAGGGTGCGCAGTCCTGCCTCCTCTAAGAGGGGGGCGACTCGGGGTGGAGAGAAAACTTCAAGAAACGACCTCGACTTGAGATCCGAGGAGACCCTGCAATTAGCCACCAGAGACTGAAGCTGTCTCCTCTCGCTCTTAATGAGAAACACTTCGTGGTCATCGTTGTTCTGATCCCCGAGGACCGTGCTCGCCCACGAGGGCATAAGAAACTCGACCCCCCGAGACCCGGTCCTGGACAGAGGCCTTGCCCCCATTGACAGAAGCGAATCCAGCACTTGGCGACGCTTGGTCTTCCCCGGAGAAACCGAAAAAGTGACCCCCCCGGGATGAGGCAGCTTCTTCGCCCTCAGCTCCTGAGACACGCGCCCGCTCACGTCCAGCGGCCGTTGTGGAAGGTCTTCCACCCGGCCTCCTTCCACTCGTGGTATTCCTGGCGCCGCTTCTCGGCGGCCTTCTCCTCCGGGCCCGGCGTCCACGGGTCTCGGTTCTCCGGCTGGCGTGAGGGAGTGCTCTTGCCCTTGTTGTTGCCCTTGCCGTAGGGGCCGACTGCTGCCGTTGGCGGGGCTGCCAGGTCCGTGCCCGGGAGTGAAATGCTGGCCTCCGTGGTCAGCGTCCCCGTGGAGCCGATCGGCATCTCGTCCGCAGTGAAGAGACGATCCGGATTGCGGGGAGGAGTCACTGCGTCCTTCTTCTGCTCGACCGGGGGACCGTATGTCGGATAGCCTCCTAGCGCTGGTGACCTCGTCGGCTGTGGCGCCCCCGCGTTGGCTGCCGCCTGCTGGTGCAGCATCGCCTGGGAGGCCATCGCCGCCGGCACACTCGTCCCGTCGAGCGGTGCTGTCCCAATGTAGGCCCACGCTGTTGGAGCCACCCCTGGCGGCGCCCCCGCTGCGAGAGGTGGTGGGCTCTGAGGCTGTGGCTCGGTCATCTGCTGGCCCAGTGACGAAGGATGCCCCGACGGCACTGGCCGTTGTGGAACCTCCCGAGCCTGCGGTGCCCTGGCCTCCGCCTTGGGGGGGGAGTCGATTGCAGCGGCTGTGACCTTGACCTGGTCCGCCTTGCTGCTCGAGCTGCCCTGCGCCATGGCCCTGATCATTCGGCTGGCCTCCTGCGCCTGTCCCTGGGCGGTCGCGATCGCCGTCATCTGCTCTTTTACGGTGGTCGTGACCCGCTCGAGCGCCTCCTGCTGCGACGCCTGCGAGGCCATCACCCCCTGGATCATGGCCTTCATCTCCTGAAATTGACTCTCGACCATACCCTTCATGTCCCTCTCGGTCTTGGCCTGGTACTCGCGCATCTCCTCGAGTGGGTCGGAGGCGGTGTCCATGGCCTCCGTGTCGCTCTCTGGCTTGCGCTTCGTTGAGGACGCCCGGCGAGCTGCTGCTGCTGCGGACCTCTGTTCCGCCTGATCCTTCTGCAGCGCCTCGGTGACCTTCGCCGCGTCCTCCGCCACTCGCTGATACGCCGGCTGCCGAGCCGTCATGACTGAGCCGCCCGCCAGACCTCCGGCCATCATGCCCGGGTGAAGAGGCAACGGAGCCCTTTCGGCCCCAGGAGGTGGCTTGGGTACGCATATCAAGGCCTGCCACTGTGGCTCGGCGGTCGCGCCCTGAGCCCAACCTTGTCCACGCAGCGTGCACGCGGCGTCCTTCTTCTTGCACAGGCACATCTTCTCCTCTTTCACGGTCCCTTTTGTCGGCCTCAGCTCCCAGTATCCGACCCTCATCGTGCACCCGCTGCATACGAACCACTTCCCCCACGAGTTGGCTCCGTAGTTCACGAGCGTCGGTGGGTGCCAACACGTCTCGTACGCCTCCGAGAGGCGGCGAAGAGACTTGGGCAGGTTGGTCGGCCAGAAGCGCTTGGCGCGGCACATACTCCCGAACTCCTCGGCCAGACGCGCCGACCAATATAGCACCCACCCGGCCAAACAGGCCCATCCCTTCTCGCCCTTGTTGAGGTTCTCCGGGACGTAGGTCCCGGTGGCCCCGTAGACCCATGCTGAGTCCGTCTGGCTCTGCATGCGGTCCGTCATCGCATGCGGCCGCTCCTGAGCTCCACGACGCCCCCTCTGGCCTGCCACGCGGGTCGTCGAAGCAGCGGGCGGCGTCGCGATCTGCTCTCCAATCGGCCTCTGAGTTGTCGAGGCTGTTGTCGAATTGCTGCGAGCTGAATGATTCGAGCCCAAGTGCTGCGAGGAAGGCGTACGAAGTCGAGGCTGGCCTCGTGGCCCACGTCGGCCACCTCCAACCCCGCGCTGTCGACCCTCCCCTGGCTCTGAAACGTCTCGACCTGGAACTCAAAGCCCTGGCGAGTCCCGAAGTACACGTACTGCTCAGCGCGGAGCCGGAAGTGCCGCCCGACTCCAGACCCCTTAGCGGGCCTGTTCTGGAACCTGAGTTGTCCGGCCCAACTAAGGCCCCGGCGTGCGTTCCGACCACATCTGACCTAATATTCTCCCAGAAAAAGGCCCCGGACCCCCTTGGACGCTGTTCCGTCCCCCTCAGACTCCCCCAGCAGCTTCCGTGGTACAGCCCCCCCAGGCCAGTGCTAACAGAAGACGCGATGATGTACTTCCCCTTGGCTTGAAACGCATCCTTCGGCAGCTGAGGGTGCGACCTAAACACGGAGGCCGGGGCTTTAAAGTCTTTGGCGGGAACTGAAAACTCGTCTACCTGTATGGTGCGGTGGGCCGACGGGAGCCTAGTCAGTGGCGTCGTGACCCCCAACTTCGTAAAGGTCAGAGCTTTGTTCGGAAGATCTACAATCCCACCTAGCATTTCCTTGAAATCCTATCGGCAAGAGGGGTGGAACGTCCTGGTCCAGGACATCCAGCTCCAACACCCCCATGCTACCCTCGATGCCTACAGGGATCAGAGCGGTGTGGGTGACCTTTACCCCCCCACCTACTCCGCGCGCGCTTGGGTTCCTGGGTGGGACCCTTGGGGCGGCGAGCCCCTTTGAGGCCCAGTGCCCCTCGATCTTCTGCAAAGCTTGCTCTCCTACAAGGCCCTGGCCGGCCGCGGTGTCGACCACCATGGCCCCAGGACCTACGGCGAGCAGGACAACTGCGTAGGTTGGAGGAGGAGGCTCGTCGAAGCACTGGGAGGTGGAGTGGTCTAAAGCATTCAAATACAGGAAAGTCATACCCGTGGCAGGAGACCCCTTTTCGTCCTTGGCTCCTGCGCCCTGCTTCTGTGGGCACTCTCGAGACCAGTGTCCCTTCTGATGACAGACACGGCATCTGGTGCGCTTAATTAATTCGGCAAGCGGAAGGCGGCTCTTCCGCGCTCTGAACGTGCCGTCTGCTGCCCTGTGGCCGGGCCTGCGAGCCTTCTCGCGCCCCTCACTGCCACGGCCCTGGCCAGACCTATCGTAGAACTTCCGGTCGGTCTTCAGCTGTCTCTTCAAGTCGCGGTTCTGCTTCCACGTCTTGCGGCGCTCCTGGTTGATGGCGGCCAGCGCTGCAGGCGCGTCGTCCTCCCCGACGTCGGCCGACTCCGGGATCGCCCAGACCTCTGCTTCCCCGTCTGAGTCCATGGAGGAGACATCCGAGTAGTCAAGCAGGGACTCGTCGTCGCGCTCGACCTGATAGGTAGGCACCTGAGGTGGGGGTGCTTCCGAGCCCATAGTGGCGTAGGTCCTGCGTGCCTTGAGATGCTCTCGATGGGAGATATCCATCTCCCGAATGGCCGAGAGAGCCGACTTGTAGTCCTTCTGGCCCCTCATGAGCACCTTGACCATCTGCGCCGAGCGCTCGTCGAGAGAAACTCCTTCCTCCAGGAAATCAGTTTCCACTCGTCTGGAAGCGGCAGCCCCTGGGTAGCTACCCTGTCGAAGGCCGTGTCCATACGTGCACAGTATTCGGTGAGATTCTCTCCCTGCTTGCGTGAATAATCCAGTAAGCACTCTCGAGCGACCTTCCGTCGCTCGTCGCCGTGTCTTTCACCAGACATCAGGTCAAGGCGTTTGACAATGGCGTCGAAACCCCATGAGCTGCACAGCGTGTCGTCATCGAGGTCCTCGAGCTTCCGTTGAAGGTCTTGATCAGGAGAGCGGAAGAGGCGATCAGCCTGCTTGTGGGAGGGAGCGTCCGTCAGTGTTCTCCAGCGCAGCACCGTGCGGCGCCACATGCGGTAGTCCCCCCAGCCTCTCCATTTCTCGGGGTCGGCGAAGTCCTTGCCAGTGTTGATGCTGGGGCGGTCGTCATCATGTCCGGAGTGGCGCTTATTGGGCTCCCACTTGCTGTCCTTGTAGTTGTCGTTCCATCTCCATCCGGATGACCAGTCGCCCCACTGCTCGTCTTTCCAATGCTCGTCCCCGTAGCTCTTCCAGGTCGAAGCCGTAGTCCAGGTGGATCGCGAAGAAGCCCACTGCTGCTCGCCGGGCTTGCAGTCCGGCTCCTGCCAGGTGCTTCTCGTCGCGTCCCAGCCGCCTGAATGCCACTGCTCCGTCCTGCCTTGGGACGTCTCGGTGGCGGACGCGGCAGCGCCGCCACCGGACCATGTCCCGGCACTCGTCGACTCGTGCTCTGGCGGTGGTGCATGCCAGCCTGACCACGAGCGATCCTCGGCGCTCGACCACGGAGCACTGGAACTCTGCCCGTGATCGCGCCGACGTCCACTGTTGTCGTCGCCCCCATGTGAGTCACGCTGGCGACTCTGGGAACTGGTCGGCGCCACGTCCAGTAGTAAAAGACGTGCCAACTTCTCTGCCTCATCTTGGTCGAGGTGGAGACCGTCATGCCTCATCAGTGTATCAGTCACTGCCCGTACTGCAGAATGCTCCCCTCGTTCTTCTTGCTGTGTCTCTCGATTAGCACCTTGCTCCGCTGCTGCCGTCATTGGTCCGCGGACTCAGAGCTGCTCACACGCTCCGCTACCACTGTCGCCCGGCGGACGACAGCAGTGAAGCCAAAGTGTCGTATCTTTTCTCCAGCAAGAGAAACCTCGCACTCTCTTTCCTCAGTACACAGCTCCCAACGCTGTACAAACAAGGCGCGGAACGGTATAGGAAAGGAAGAGGGGTAGGGTGGATATGGTATGAGTGATGAGGAATGAGTGGAAGTTGGGTCTTGAGCCAAAATGGTTACGACCCATGCTCGTGACCTTCAAGCTCAGGGAGTCTAGCAGGGGCATCGGCCTTGAAAACCACCGGCCTCTAGACTCAAATCACACAAGTTCATCCAGAGTGGTGTGATGATCCAGACCCGCCAGCAGAAGAGCGAGCACGCGGAGGCCATCGAGGGCTCCAGGAGCTGGCTCGAATCGCAATGCGGCTACAAGGAGCTCGAGATCCCTTCCGGGGTGAGTCGCGTGGCGCATGCTGCGCGGGGCCGTGGACACGCGGAGCGCAGTCGCCGCGTGAAGACGGCAGGGATCGAGGAGGTGCTCGTCCTCGGGCCCGACGTCGCGTTGGGCGAGGAGGGCGGGAAATACCTGCAGGAGTGAGGGCGATAGGCCTCGGGGGGGTGGCTGTGCTCGGGGGGTTCGTTCGTTCAGCGGGCCTCCTCTCGGCCCCTCCTGGGTGTCTGGGGCCCCGTGGGCCCGCCCGTCCGCTCCGCTGAAAGGCCCTAGGGTGCAGCTATCCCCCTGGGGCGCGGGCGGCGTCCGCGGCCGTAGCGCCGAGCGTTCGGGTCCCGACCCGTTCGATTTAGTCAGCACCCTCAGCACCCTCCTCCTCTTTCTCATCCTCCTTCCATCTATCTCACGTCCGCTTTCTCCTCCAACCCCCTTCCCCCTCCCCCTCCCCCCTCACTCGCCCCCTCCCTCTTTCTGCCATCCCTCCCCTTTCCCCTCCCCTGCCCCCTATTCCCTCCCCATCTCGCTCCCTCCCTCTTCCCCTCCTCCCTCCTCCTCCCTCCCTTCCCCTCCCCCCCTCGCCCTCCCCCTCGCCCTCCCCCTCCTCCACCTCCTCGTCCTCGTCCCCCACCTCTTCCTCCTTCCTGTCCACCCCTCTCCTGCCTGCGCTTGTGGTGCTGCCTGCCTCTCGCCCACGCCGAAGCGCGGCGGGGGTGGGGGGGTGGGGGGGACCTGTGCCAGCCAGCCTGCTCGGCCGCGTCGAATATCATGTGGAAGTGGGACTCCTGGGCCACCGATGGAGGAGGGAGAGGGAACATAGAGAGGGGGGTGACGGGGGGGGGAGAGGTAGGAGAGTGAGGAGGGAGGGATGGAGGGAGGGGGTAGCAGGGGGGGGAAGAGGAGGAGAGGGTGGAGGAGAAGGGCGAGGAGATAAAAGGGGCGGCTGGAAGGAAGGGGAGGGATGACCAGGAGAGGAATATGAGCAGGAAGGGGGGGGATGGGAAGGCGAGGAGAGAAGACGACAAGGGGGTGGGGGGAGCTAGAGAAACCGGGCACTGGATTGGCTTTGGGGCAGGTCCCTGAATGGGGACGTGGCGGGAATGCGAGGTGGATGAAGGGAGGCAAAGGACGGGGAGGATGGAGAGGGAACGCAAGAGAGATCGGGAAAGGGGAGGGAGGAGCAGGAGGAGGAGGCGGAGGAGGACCAGTGTGTATCCAAGACTCACCAACGACGTTGCAGAACACCCTTCCTCCAAATATCCCCTTCATATGCCCCTACGCGAATCTATGTTCGTTGGTTTCGGTTCGGCTTCGGACCCCCGCGACACAACATCTCCCAAGACGCTGTCAAAATTCGCCGGCCCAACGGGCCAGAGGCGTGCTAAGATCTCCGGTAACTGGTTAACAATATTTCTAGTTCGCGCGCGCGGGGCGGCCCCTGGGGGTCCCCCGGCGAAAAGTATCCCGACCGCAGCCCGAGCAGGTCTACTCAGAGATGGTTTTGATGGCCTTTTTTCGACACCTTTCACGAGGATCGTGGCCTCCGAGGGGAGTGCACTCGACTACCCCGCCCCAAGAGGCTCCCAAGAGCCCCCCAAGAGGCCCAAGGGGGCCCCAAGACGCCGCCAAGGAGCCCCAAGAGACCCCCAAGAGGCCCCCAAGAGGCCCCTAGGAGGCCCCACAGAGGCCCCCAAGAGGCTTCAAAGAGGCCCCATAGAGCGCTCGAGGGCCGGCGGAATGAGCGAAGCGATTAAATAAATGAGGGGGAATGCGTCGGACTCCCGCGCGGAACCATCTCCTCGTCCTCCTCTTCATCATTAGTATCATCATCCTGACTTCCCTCCTCCTCCTGACGAGGGGTGAGAGGGTTAGAAGGAAGGACGCGAAGGCGGGGGAGAATGAGAATGAGCAGAAACAGCAGGAGTGAGAAGAATGGGGAGGTGGAAAATAGCGCTGGAAAACCAACGCACCAACACACAACTAACACACACCACACAACCGGAACTACAACAGGCAAAACGTATATGAACATCCGTGCCTCCCCAAAAAGCAAACAATACCACTTCCAAATATAATGCGGGGTTTCCCTTCGGACGTTTCCCTTCCGAAGGTTTTCCTGTTTTTGTATTGTTTTGTTGTTGTCGTTGAACTCTCACTCTTGAACACAAGTTATTGCTGACCCCGCCCACCTATGCGCAAACGCTCCTCCGGGGCCTCGCACTCTGATTTCTGTTTTCCGGGAAAATCTTCCTGCTCAAACTATGTCGTTGCCCCCTGCTACAACAACAACGGTTCCCGCCTCATACTTCAGCATAATATATTCCAACAGCGCGCTCTCGCGCGGGACTCCCCCACACTGTATGCAGGAATCGCGCTTTCGCGTGGGACTTCGTCGCAATTTGTTCAGACGCTGCGCCCTCGACACTCATGATCACGCTCTCTCTTTGGCCTGTCTCACGACTTACTTGGCAATCGCGCTATCGCTCGAGACCCTCTCGCGATTCATGCAGGACTCACGCTTCAACAACCCGCCTGCTCGACCTGGCCGCCCAGGCCCGCCTTCCCGACCCGCCCGCGAAGGTCTGTCCGCCCGATCCGCCCGTCTGGTTCTGCCGCGTGTTTTCTGCTCCTAGCCCCCTTCATGCTAAATTCTCTCGTGCTCCATTCTTCTCCCTCCCTCATCCATCCGTCCTCTTTTCCACTGCTTTTGGGGCTGCGTTTAATCCTCATGCTGGAAAACATCACCAACATCAGCAACATCAGCAACAACAGCAATGACACCACCACCACCACCAACAACACCAACACCACTAACAACAATAGCAACAGCAACAATCATTTTAAGACTGTTCGCTCTTATCTGCTCGAGTGTCCGTTGACGCGTATTTCCCAAACCCTCGATACGCGCCCCCTTCGTCTTCGATCGTACGCCTTTTGCGGGGTATACCTTTCGGGCCCCGGCAAGCGGCGGGGCGGCCGCGGACCGTCGGCCTGGCCAGCAGCAGCGCTGATCGGCGGCAGCCCGACCCCAAGAGGGACGGACAGGGGACCGACCACGACGACGACGACGAGCGAAACCGAGAGAAAGAACGACAGCAGGGCCCCGAAAGGCACGAAATAAGCCACGAAGGGCGACAGCGGGGACACGAAGGGAATGCGTATGGGGGCCACGAAGAGCGCAAACGAACGGGGGCCACGAAGGGCAGATCATAGGGCCACTGAAGGCGAGGACGGGGCCGCTGAGGGCAGCAACGGGGCCACGTAGGACAGCGAGGGGACCACAAAGGGCGACAGCGGGGCCACGAAGGGCATGCACATGGGGCCACGACGGGCGCGGACGAGCGGGGGCCACGAGTGGCATACATAAATGGGGCCACGAAGGGCAACGAGGGGGCCAATAAGGGCTGCGAAGGGCAACGAGGGGGCCACGAAGGGCTGCAACGGGGCCACGAAGGGCAGCGAGGGGGCCACGAGGGGCTGCAACGGGGCCACGAAGGGCAGCGAGGGGGCCACGAAGGGCTGCAACGGGGCCACGAAGGGCAACGAGATCCCGATTCCTAAACACTGTGTGAGGGAGTCATAGGCGTGAACGCGACTCCTGAGCGCCTGAATGTCGGGAGCGCGGCGCTTGAAGAAATTGCGGGAAATTCCAACGCAAGGGCGCTATCCAGGCGTAGTTTGCAAGCACGTCTCCAGCGAAAGCGCGAGTCCATCCAGAGCGCCGAGAGAGCGATTCCTGAATAAATTGTCCGGAAGTCCCAAGCGAGAGCGCGATTCCTGAATCAAGTGCGAGAAGCCCCAGGCGGGAACGGGGGTCCTGGATAAATTGTGAAGAGGTCTGAAACGGGAACGTTGTTGTAGCCCGGGGGCCAAGCAAAACTCCATTCCCGGGCCACATTTTGAATGCCTGGACCCAACTGTAAGCCACTTCGTGCTCTTCGACTTCCCAGAACTCCATTCCCGGGCCACATTTTGGATGCCCGGAGCCAACTGTAAGCCACTTCGTGCTCTTCGACTTCCCAGAACTCCACTCCCGGGCCACATTTTGGATGCCCGGAGCCAACTGTAGGCCACTTCGTGCTCTTGGACTTCCCAGAACACCACTCCCGGGCCACATTTTGAATGCCCGGAGCCAACTGTACGCCACTTCGTGCTCTTCCACTTCCCAGACTTCCAAGACTCATCATCTTCATCATCATCATCATCGTCCCCGTAGCCTTCTTGGCTACAGCCCTGCTTTCGAAGATTTCCTTTCAAAGGAACTGCGCAGCGCCTACTGCGCACCTTAATGCCAGGACATGCTGATAGTTCTCGGTCTGGCGGCGGTGCTCCTGACCCTGCTGCATTGAACAGCGGTGCTCCTCAGCCTGCGGCAGGGAACAGCGCTGCTCCTCAGCGTGCTGCATTGAGCGGTCCTCTGCAAACGCTCGTCGAACACGTGAAGCAGTTCGGCTGGAGACCGAAGCGAAATAAAGGAACGTCCGAACAAGAACGGGCCGAAAACAAGTTGGCCAAACGTTTCTCGGACCATCGCGACCGCATCCCCAAAGACATTTTGCATGAACTGCGGGCCCTGGGCTGTGCTGATCAGCAGACGGAGATCGAGGAGCTCAAGCGGAAGCAGAAGACCGTCACTCCACACACTACAATTACTACTTCACTGTTACCACTACTACCATCAATACTACTTCTACTGCTACTACTACTGTTACTATTACTGCTGCTGCTGCTGTTGCTGCTGCTAGTGTAGCTATTGCTACTGCAACTACTGGCAGTGCCACTGCGACTGCCGCTGATGTTGCCACTGCGACTGCCACTGCGAATCCGAATGCGACTGCGAGAACACCAGAATTCTACAACAGCACTCTTACATGAATACCACAGGCAATGTTTCCAGCTATGCTTCTACACATCGCTGTTAGGTTGCTTTGCCGGGATAATTTTTGCCCTTCTCGCCTTTTCGCTTGCGATGCGCTTTTGAGGCGTCAAGATTGCCATGCGATGGCCCACGAGAGCCCCAAGAAGCTCCTAAGACTGCCCCGAGAGCGCCCAATATCGCCCCAAGAGGCTATTTCGATGGCCCCGGAAGGTGGAGGCAAATCGAGGACCCCCCTGCTTTGATCGATGGTCTCCAACTTGGCCCGAGGAGGCGCTCCATAGCTCCCAAGAGGGCCCCAAGAGAGCATCAATAGGTACCCAAGAGGGCCCCAAGGCGCCCCAACAGAGCCCCAAGAGGACCCCCAAACCGCCTAAAGAGCCCCAGAAGGGCCCCAAGATGCCCTGGAAGAGCTCCAAAAGGACCCCAATATCCCCCAATACAACCCCGTTGCTCCAAGAAGGCCTCCGATGCTCCAAGATAGCCTCCAAGATGGCTCAACATCCTCCTCCTTCTTCTCTTCTCTTTGCACGCTCTGTTTCACTGTATGTGTCTCTTCTCTCCTTTTCCGGTCAACTCTCATGGGCAAGGATCCTGAATGGGCTGGTGGGGATTCGCGAAGCGTAAACCATACTTATCTTGTGAGTAAGTCCCACGACAGCGCGATTTCTGCATACATTATGAGAAATACTGCGCAAAAAAAACGCGATTTGGGAATACATGTGAGAAAGTCTCAGGCGGGAACCGTTATTGTTGTACACCGAGGGCCAAAGACAATTTTCTGAGACCCAGGACTTTTTTAAATAAAAAACAGGGTGCGCCCATGGAAGGGCACTTCAATTGAGAAAAGCACAATGTGCCCCAGAGGTGGGTGATCAATAATTACTATCTCCCAGTAGTGAAGGGTTC